AAGAAAATAATAGCACTGGCATCCCATTCTTAGATATCATTATCTTGCCACAGGGGGGGGAAAGAGATTACAGTTTTGGGGGAATACATTGTGATAGTGTGAATGATTCTGACAACCTCCAATTGCTTCATCTCCTAGATGTAAATTGCTCTCAGGCATCGTCTTTGTAACAGTCTGAAAAGCAAAGTAATGAGACCAAGAAATGACATCCAGAAATGGAAGGCTTGAGAAAGAAGCATAGAATTACTTTGAAAACAGCTGGCTCATTCATATCATTCCATATGCCATCAACACCATTAGATGTAAAATCTTTAACTAAATGAGCCCACCAAGCGCGAACTTTTGATTGTGTGAAATCAGGAAAAACACAGGGCCCAGGCCATACCCCCCCTGGACGTGGCAATAAAACCATAACTTGTCAATGTAAATGCAAGAAAATTAAGGGTAATTACTAAAGCATGCTATGCTACATTCATACCAACAAATGGCTCCCCATCTGCTTTCTTGATCCATGCATCATTTTCAGAACCACTGTCATAGATCAAATATCCTTCTTCTTTCTTGATACCAGGGTCAAGCATCCAAATCGCTTTAAATCCATCATCATGGAGATCTTTTACCAAAGATTGTGGATCTCGAAAACGTTCCTGAAAATATTAGTTATAATATGACATTATAATTCAATAAATATTTCCTTTATCTACCCCTCATTAAACATTGAAACTAAACTGATGTCCTTTCCATTAGTGAAACCCCTTCCCACCCCAAATAAAAATCCAAGCCCTCTTCTCAAATACAATGAACTTGTCAACAAAGGATCATTCAAGCAAAGCACATGCCTGGTCAAATGTGAAACAGCGAAAGCCATCCATGTAGTCAATATCCATCCATATAACATCACATGGTATGCCCTTCTCTCGAAAAGTTCTGGCGATCTGCAAATTTACAAGGCTCAGCAGCCAGAACAGATATACAATGTCAAATAATATGAATGAAGTAAACAATTTTAAGCAATTGAGGGCCTCTAATATGGGGTGAACAGAACTTTGGGAAGATAACATTGAAAACTGTCGTTCCACAGCTAAGAAGAAAAGATCAGAGCAGGGGACTAGCTTGAAATCCTGTAATAGTTAACATTTTACATGCATGAATGCTAAAAAAGTGCACCTCGCGAACTCTCTCATCTGAATCATAGCTCCACCGGCATTGTTGATAGCCTAATGACCACTTTGGAGGCATAAAAACAGTTCCTGAGGAAAGTGACACAGCATAAACAACTAGCAAACCAGATTTTTTCAAATATAATAAAATAAAATCCTAGCGTCTGCTCTGGCTGTTACTGAATGGTTTCTAGCCCACAAAGTGGCAAAAATAGTCTTAGATGTTCCAAATTTAAGGATAAAAAAAAGGAAAGAAGAAAGCCATCCATTGTGAACTGAAAACCCTTGTCACTCGTCAGTAATGCCAAATTAATTCAAATTCTCATTTTGGCAAAGTTCCATGCCCCCATCATCTTAGGAGCCTGCCCCTAGCAAGATCCCAACTGTTTCATGGCAGTTAAGCCGCCATCATTATGCAGCCCACTCCATCATTTCAACCTTTTATATTCTCTCCTCTTCCCGCACATATTTCTCTTCATTTTAGCCAATTCAAAAGTCAATTTGCCATTACCCCTCCACTATTATTTGATAAGGAAGAGGATATACACTGATTCCCATTTCTCTACTCTCTAATTTCTCCACAAGCCTCTCTACATGCTCATAACAAAAGCCATTATCACATAAGAAACCCCAGATCAAAACATCAGAAACACCAAAACAATTCCAAAACCCAAAAAACAAAGATCAAGTCACCAAAAATCCTCTCTAACTGTAACAGTAAAGTAAGAGTCCATTTTTTACAATATATTTTCTTTCCATAAACACACACAATAAGTAAATGGAACAAATGCAATAACACATGAAATGAGCTGACAATTAACAGGACATCCATAAAAATAGCAATTGAACCAGAGAACAGATTCAAGAAGCAAATCAAATCTAAAATGGTTAGGAAGTTACCAATGGCGTGAGACAAAGATTTCAGAACATCTGTGGGAGAAGCAAAAAGACCAAATGTAACAACAGGGTACGATGATGGAGCAATGAACTGAATTATTGATTCCTTCCTCAGATCAATCTGCTTATTGATGGTAAGGGTGAATGTTAGAATTAGGGAAACATACAAGGGGTAAAACAATAAAAAATGTTTTCATTATTGGCACATCACCTCACAGCGTAGCGTGGTGTCTGCAAGAACCCCTAACGCCTCTCCATTTGGAAGAACAGCCAGCACCCAAGGATGTGACTGGTACAATGATGTAGTTCCAGGACCATAACCCCATGCATCCGTGTTCCATGTGAAAACCTACATTAAAATATCTTCTATGTAAAGAACCACATACAAAAAACAAACCAATCACGGCTGTTGCATCAAACAAAAACACTTACTCTTTTTCCGGTCCTCTCAAGCTGTCCACTAACTTCTCCAGTTCCGTAAAAGGTGGTGCCATCAGGAAACTAAACCCCCAAACAAATTGTAAGCTGTCAAACTCGGAATAACTCAAAAATATGAACATAAAAGATTTCAAATTTACATTTAGATGGGTACAAATACGGGAAATCTGTAACTACCCACCTCGAATTTAACAATCTGCTTCCCAGAAACACATTCATAAGTGGGGGTATATGAAGGAACACTGTGACTCATGATTGGCGTGTCCCTATCTTTGCTACGGATGAATGAAAGGCTGGGATATGAAGCAGCTCTAGCTTCTGCAGAACAATCAAATCGAAAAATCCCATCCTCCAAGATAGGCTGAAAAATCATATCCCCCGAGACAAAATCAGCAGCGACTACCTTAGCTTGATCATGATCAGCCATTTTTGACATCAATCCCCTGCAACTTAACTTCTTATTAAGCCTCCTCTTTCTGCATGCCAAAGTTTGAAGAGAAATTCAATCAATCAAACAGTGAAAGAAGCACAATTAAAAAAAATAGTCATGGACAAATGAAGCACTGCTTCAGTAATTAAAGGAAATGAAGGGTGCTAAATGATCTTAGATATCAAAATAATGATTCCTATATCAATAGAATTAATTGGTAAAAAAAAAATTCAGAAAGTGGGTAAGCTTCCGCATGCATGCATCATATATAAAACTGAACTAACATGAACCTGATATTTCAAAACTTCAACCAGGTGATTCCCAAATTAATATTTCCTACCTAAACTCAATCAAAAAGCAGAAGTAAAAAAGCCATGGTCGGGTGATGGTTGAGAAAGAAGAACCTGGAAGCGAATGTAACGGCTGGTGTACAGGTGGTTGTTGAAGTGGGGAAGAGGTGAGGAGGAGGGAGTTTATGATGATGCCTAAGCTTTGAGATTGTCGGTGTTAGTCCACGTTGTTGTCCACTACAGACCACCAGTAGTGTTTCCATGGAAAATGCCAGAATCCTGTCTTATATTATATTACACTAGTGATATTGGGTACTTTGATTGTAAGAACAAACAAAAATATAAAATAGATTAATTTTAGAATGAGTTTTTGTTTTTTAAACGGGAACGCCCATCATTACACGTATCCCTCCATCGGTGTTAATTATTGAAGGGCGGTTTAGGAACTGTTTGGGACGTGATTAAACTTGTATTTTTAAATTTTTTTTTTTTTTTTACATTTTAATATAATATATACGTTTTAAATCATTTTAATATATTAATATTAAAAATAATTTTTAAAAAATAAAAAAATTATTAATATATATTACAATATAAAAATTATTTAAAAAACAATCACCATCACAATAATCACTCTGTCACACTGCAAACCATAAACATAATTTGGTAGGTAAATAGAGGGGGCACGTGGAACTGCCACTTTCTCCTTTGCCTCTCTTTTTGGACGTTGTGGCAAAGAATCAGCTTTCGGAAAATACTGCTGATAGACAATGAAGTGGGATATTTTTCACCCTGAAAAATGATTTACCCGACCAAAGGAGATTTGATCTCTGCGAAAGAGGGATTTGAAAACTAAAAATCGACGAGAATCTCTAAGAAATTATGTCAACACTCTTGTGCTTCGACCGCATGTCCTGTTTCACGCGGATCAATGTTCACGAGGCAGCTTCAATGCTTTCTTCTTTGTCGGTAAGCAGCTACACATTAAGGAGGGGTGTCTAAAAAATTTGATAAACCAAAAATTACTTGAAAAAACTGAACCAATAAAAAAATTGATTGAACTGATTAAAATATTTAATTCAGTTTGATTTTTAATTTTAATAAAAAAAATAAAATAAACCAAGCAGTGCATGCTACAGCCACCTTCTCCTATTACTTTTCCTTTTAACAACCATAGCAAACTATTTATATGCTTTTCTTTTCACACAGCCATCATCTCTTCTCCAACCTTTTCAATTTTCATTTACTTCACAGTGACATAGTTGCTCCTATCTTAAAAAGAATGGCAGACTTAAGCAAAAACCTAGAAGAAGGGGAGAGGATTGTGACTCCCAGCAGACGATCTAACACCCTTGGAAAATCCATTTGGATTCGGGCTGGTTATACCCCCAAAACAAAATTGTCGTCTACCAATCCAAAGGGACCCTAGTATGCTCTTCTTTGATATGAAGAATCATGGGTTTGGTTCCATTCTCTTAAGAGAAAGGAAATGCAGACTCAGGAAGTTCCTCCATGTTATGATCTTGTTGTTCCTAGAAAGCCAAAAACTAAGTCTGTTAAAAGGAGAATGAAAGAAAAAAATATAAGCAGTTTTCAAAAAATAACCATAGATTTTTTTGGTTTTCAACCTCGAAAACCAGACCCAAACCAAATTGAAACCGGTCGGTTTGGACCGTTTCTAGTTTGGTTTGGGTCCTTTTTTTCCCTTCCAATTTAGTTGTTTTTGGTTGTTTTTTAAAAATAAAAACCGAACCAAACCGAAAATGATCACCCCTAAAGCTGAGCCACTGTGATCTCTTTTACTGCATCGTTATACCAACTAGTGTTACAATTGTATTTATTCTACACACAAGCCATGGAGTCAATATCAGTTTACATTGCAGTCGTCATTACCATTTCAAATGCAATCTGCATTCAGATAACCAATTAGGCAATTATAGCAATTAAACTGGCAATCTAGCTTTTCTAATTTCGTTTTTCCATTGAAAATGGCTAATGACATGTTGCTTCAGATCTTTAAACCGAGGAAGGTCTCTCCATCTGACTGATCTTAATCCTGTTGCAGAATGTCATGTAACTACATCAAACCAAAAGAGCAATTACAGGACAACTGAAGGCAATAGTTGTCTACAGGAATGGGCAAACTTTGGGACTCCACGATCAAATATCGGAAAAATCTGAACATGCTCCTTCTGTGTTATGCATCAGCACTCGCCCTGCAGATATATCAGAGCTAAAATTGTTAAATAAAAAAGATAAGCGGCAATAAAAAAAAACTCAAAAATCAAAGCAAGCTTGAGTTCAATATGCTTACTCCTTGGAATTACAATAATCACGCCAACAAGAAACACAAGATTCAAAATCTAGCAGCAAACAATATCAGCAAGAGCAACTAATAGATTCCAGAATGATATCAGACCAAAAGTGCGTGGTAAATATACTTACCATTAAAATGGTTTTTATTTGTACTCCTGAACACAGAAAATCGAAACCAATAACTGGTTTCAAAATGGTATAAGAGTAGAAATTAATTTTATCATTGAAAACCAAACATGCTAGAGCGAGTTTCACCTCAAACCAAAGATTTCGGGTGCTGCTTTATGGAGACACGGTGGTGAGGGCTCAAAAGTTGGGATAGAGAATCTAGAGAGAGAGAGAGAGCAAGAAAGATGGCACAAAACAGCAAGCCAAAATTTTTATAATCATTCATAATGATGGAAGAAACTATCTTTGTTCTACAACCATTTCTGTTTTTCATTTGTTAAAAGGAAACGGATAAAGTTTTTTGAAACATAGCAAGATTCAAATCATAACCAAATTTTGAGTGGCAATTTTCAGCCTTGGCACCTCGTGGATCAGATGATGTACCCTTTTTATTAGATATGACACCACAAACTCCTAGCAAATTAATTCCAAAGAGCCAAAAAAGGTAGTGTGGTAATAGGTTTATCTGTCTTTCATTATTTGATTTTTATTTTTTTTTTCCATTTAAACTTGAGTGCCAAACAGAATCTTAAAGATACAGCCCCTGCTCCCTCCAAGCACCCTTTCAGTGATCAAATGAGTTACGGGAGCAGGAAGAGGAAAGAAAAAAAGGGAAGCCTGTCAATACTTTCTCCTTCTAGTAAGGTGCAACCCCACTAATCTTATTTCCTATTCCAAATTATTTGCAAAACCCCTGACATCTTGTCTGAAATCCTCCTGCAATAACAAGAATTCTCAGTGGCTTGACCTATATGATTAGAAGCCTAGAATAACTATGGAACCTGATTTCATTAGTTTTGCACGAACTTCGGAACTTGAGCAAGAAAAGGCAAATAGGCTAAGATTATTAAGTGAAGGCCAATGAAAAAAATAAAAGATGCCCCAGTTAACACTTTAAGGATTAAAAACTGGGGCCAGTAATAATTACCAGCTGAGAACCAAAGATAATTCAAACAGAAGCTTATGCAACTTATGATCTTCAAAATTGAAATTTAAAAGCATTTTAGAATAGCAAGAGTTTGTCGAAAAGCAATTTTATTTACATACGATGAAATTTTCATTTGAAATTCACATTAATCATGCTTCAACATGAACCATCAGCATTTGCATTAGAATCAGTGAAAATACTGAAACAAGGTAGAAAGACGATTTATTTCAGTAAATCACTTTTTAAATTTTTCTATGTTTATTTATCATTAAAAAAATTAATTAATAAAATATATTTTTCATCAAAAAAAAATATTTTTCAGTTAAAAAAAAAATTTAATTTGATTTTCAGAAAAGTTTTTTTCTTTTATTTTAAATAAAAAATACTTTCTGGAAGTTATAAAAAATTTAGAAATATTATATTATTTGATGATTATATCAAATTTGATCCTTAAACTTTTAATTGGTATATATATATTTTTTGAATATTTATTGTTTAATTTTATCTTTTAAAAATTAATTTTTATATTAATTTTGGTCCTCATTTTTATAATTATTATTTGTTTTTTTATTATTTTTTTATTAAAAATTTTTATTTATCAAATTTCATCCTTATTATTTTAATTATTACTTATTTTATTTCAAATAATTTATGAAATGTTAATATTATTATTTTAATTTCTTCATCTTTCATCTTTTTTTTAAGATTTGATCTCTATTATTTTGAGTATTATTTATTTTATTTGAGATAATTTATAAAATTATATTTTTTTCAATTTCATTCTCATTAAAATTTTTAATTTGTAAAATTTATTTCTCATTATTTTAATAAACTTAAAAAAATAAAATATTAATAAGTTATTTTCCAGCTTATTTTTCATAAAATAACAAAATATTAGAAAGTGTTTTCCAACTTATTTTCCATTATACTACCAAATATCAAAAAATAATTTATTTTTTTAAAATTCACTTTTCAAAATAAATTACTTTCCGCTAAATAAACAAAGCCCTAAAATATCTTCTAAAGCAAGAATAGCAATTCAAATTTAAAAGCATTTTAGAATAGCAAGAGTTTGTCAGAAAGCAATTTTATTCACCTATGATGAAATTTTTATTCCAAGTTCACATTAATCATATGCTTCAACATGCATTTGCATTAGAATTAGCGAAAATAGTGAAAGAAGATTGAAAAACAATTTATTATCTAAAGTATCTTCTTAAGCAACAGTAGCAAGTAAATTAGCATAAGACCCATAAATTCCTCATAGTATCTGAAATTCCGAAAAGATACACATATATCACTATAAGCATCAAGACAACGTATCCCAGAAAACCTATGGATGGAACTGGGATGTCTGCAATACTCACCAAGAGAATCAATAGCCAATGTAGCTGGGATCTCCAACATATTCTGCAATTTGCTCGAGTTTGACATTAAGCAACTCATGGCTACCATAATCCTGCACAACCCCAACCTCTCTGTCCATGTCCCTTTGAACCAAATTCCCATAAGCTCCCCTATGCTTCCCATAAAGAACAAGAACTGGACCGCCCCGACGAGGCAATGCATTCTCAAGAAGGTCCTGATCTACACCTTGCACCAACTCCCTACTTTCATCCATACTTACATCACACTTGTAAGGCCCAACCACATCCACCACCTCTCCTTTCTTCAAATACAATTTACCCCCTTTCAAGTCCTTACTAATTATCCTAACCCGAATATGACTCCTAAGCCACTGAACTCCTCTCTCTTTAACAATGCCACCATTCCCAATTATCAAACTTTCTCTACTCTCCACGCTCCTCTTATTAACAGGTCGGTGTTCCCTATCCCCATCACTCGATTTCTTCTCTTCTTTTATCTTTAAATCCTTCAATTCCTTCAAACACCTCTCCTCTTCTCCCGACCCCAATTCTGCAACATCAGAAACCCGAACTTTCACACCCTCCCCACTCTTTTCTACCCTCAAAATAATCGAATCCGAACCCAGCCTCTCTACAATCGTACCTTTCAAACCCAAATTTTCCTTTTTACCAAAAATCACTCTAACTTCTTTACCCACAGAAAACCCATCTTTATTCTTCTCTGATTCTTTCTCTTTAACACTACCATTACCATTGCTACTATTTTTATTACTATTTTTTGAATCAAGTGAAGCAGAAAAAAAGCCCAAACCTTCTTTATAAGTTCTTTTAGTGTACTGCTTGATTTTAACATCTTCTTTAGCATTCTTTCCGACTCCTCTCCCTTCATGCCAACCATAACCCTTAAGCAAAGCTTTGGCAAAATCCTCAACTGGCATTTCTTCAAACTCCTCAAACCCTCGATCCTCTGGCAACCTCTTCAAATCATATCTCAATTTCTCCAACATCACATCCTCAACTCTAGCTTCTTTGGTCAGAGAAGTGGCGGTGGGCTGACGGAGATTGAGACCGAAAGACATGGGATCGGGGGAGAAGGTTTGGAGTTCGAAACGTAGGTCGGTGGAGGGGTCAGGGTGGAGAAGGAGATCGGTGCTTTTCAATTTTTTGTGGGGTTGGTATTCGTTTTGTATAGGTTTGATAATTGGGGTTCGAGTGCTTTGTAGGGTTTCTGTGGGATCGAATTCGGTGACATATTGTTTGGTGTTGCTATCATCTGATTGGCCTTCGTCTTTGTCTGAGACTGGCTTTTTTGAATTCGAATTTGATGGAATTGAGAAGGAGAGCTTAATGTTGTTTTTTGTCTGTCCGAGGCCGTCTGTGTTTCGATATGCTGCTGTTGCTCATGATTAATAAAAACGAGGAGGAAGGAAGGATTTGATTGAAAATTCTTAAAACACTTTAACAACACCTGGGCTGGGTTCTTTAGCTAATACTAGGAAGTTGCCCGGGCGGCGCTGTCGTGGTCGTGGATAACTTCTCAGCAATGTTATTAAATTCAGTGAAGCTATATAAATCATTGTGATGACTCATAACCTGCTCGTTAGATCCGGTCGTGTTTATTAATTTGATAGATTGCCCAGGCGGTCCAAAAAGAAGCTTTGCAACAATAGAGTTTTAAGAGAAGCAGCTTGAAAAGCAAAATGCTCTGCATCTTTCTTTTGATTAAAATCTTAACTTTTGATTAAAATACATCATTGGAGTAAAGTTGGTGTTTAAAACTAAACTAAATGCATGCGGTTATATCAACAAACACAAGGTTATACTCGTAGTTAAGGGTATACTCGCATATTTCATGTTGATTATTCAGATAACTTTGCTTCTGCTGTAAAAATAGATATCATTAGATTATTATTTGCTATTATTGCACACAAGAATTAGAAAGCGTTTTAGTTAGATATTAAGTCAGCATTCTTAAATGATGTTTTATAAAAAAATATTTATGTTAAATAACCAACTGGATTTATGATTCAAGATAAAAAAAAAAATTACATAATAAAAAAAGTTTTACATAAATTAAAGCAAGCACCTAAAACCTAATATAGCATAATTAATAATAATATTCTAAGCTTTGGCTTTCAAAAAAACTTATCTAAGGCAATTCTTTATGTGAAGAAAAATAATAATGACATTCTCATAATATCTTTTTATGTTAATGACTTTCTATTGATGGAAAGCAATGCATAATAAGTTGAAAAATTCAAGCAGAAAATTATGCAAACTTTTAAAATGATTGATTCTAGTATCATGATATATTTTATTGGAATAGAAATCTTTTAAAAGAGGGGCAAATTACTAATAAATATTTGATATTATATGTTATATAGATATATGTTATATAAAGAAAGTAATTTAAAATATATATACCAACTCAAGTCAAGTAAAATTAATTTAAAAATACTTTTAAAATTAAAAAAACTTACATTATAATTGTTCTCTTTGAAATTTTATATTTTAAAATTGCTTCATAATAATTTTATTTTTAATCTCATTAAAAATGTCTTTCTTAATATATACAACAAACTTTCATTTATTTATTTCTAAATCTTCCAAGGAATAGAAAAATTCTTGGCAACGATTCTATGTTGACATATAGTCAAATTGATATTATTCTTATTGACTTATTATTTTATAGAAGTGGATTAAATATAAATATTAATTTTTTTAATTTATCTAGCATGTCCCCAATTTTTTTAGTTGTCATGTACTTCATTTTTAATCACTAATAAATTTATCATCATTATTTTTTTTTATGAAATTCATAGCAAAATTCTTATCAATTCATCAAAACTCATTTCAATTTATATTAATTAGCATATAATATTACCCATACAGATATTAATTCAACAAATCCATAAATTATTATAAACCTTAACATTTTCAATAACTAATTATAAAGAAATAAAATTAAAATTAGATAATGAAATAAATAGAAAAGATGAAGGAAACTTTTCTAAAGCATAAAATATAAGAGGTTACTTGCTTAACTAATTAATAATTTAGGGCTTTAAGATAAATTTTATAGAAAATAAAGAGGTAGAGACAATAGTCAAAAAAGAAAAAGAGCTTGGATCAATTAGCAACTACAAAAAAAATAAAATCCTATAAAGCTATTGTATTAATATTTTAATATAAAAAATACTTTGAAAATAAAATTAAGGGATAGTTGCCCCCTCTTGCTCCATTATGGCTCCGCCACTAAATGAAAGTTAACCAAAGTAAGAATGAAATATTTATTTGCTAAAAGAAGTATGTAAATGAAAATTTAAAGAAATTTCATATGGAAAATTGCAAACCAACAACTACTCCAATTAATCTAAAAGAAAAATTTAGCAAAGAAAATGGAACCAATAGAGTTGATGAAGAAAAGTTTAAAAGAATGATTGGTTGCATAATATATGTAATGACAACTAGATTTGATATACTTTATGTTAAAATTTTTTTATTTTGTTTCATGCATTGTCTAAGTAAAATATATTTAAGAGACGAATTCTAAGAACTGTTAACTTAGATGTTTAGTTTCAGAGGAGTTAAAAGTTAAGGTTACATGGTTCTTTTTATAGTGAATAGGGAGATTTATTGATGATATGAAAAAAAATTTGAATTTTATTTCAGCCTATGATAAAAAATATTTTCATAATTGTCAAAGAAGTAAGACATACACAATCCACTACAAAAGCTGAACTTATTGTAGTAGCAACATAAGAAAAAAATTACAAAGGTCTCAGTGAATAATCAAACAACCATAGAAATGTGTCACAATCTAACGTTTCATGGAAAAACCAAATATTTTAACCTAAAACTCTATTATCTACAAAAGTTGCAAAAAAATAATAAGGTTATGTTAATTTACTAAAAGTATGAAGATTAGCTAGTAAACTTGTTCACAAAACCACTTCCAGTTCGGAAGTTTAAAATATTGGAATTTCCTGCTTTTAAAACAAGGAAGAGTGTTAAAGATTATTTTAGTACTGACATAAGTTCACGTTAGCTTTCTGTTATGTTAGTTTTAGTTTTTTATGTTTCAAGCAAATAAAAGGTTGTGTTGGTTTACTAGTCTCGTGATTTATTGCTATTAATTAACATTTCAGCCTTTTCTTTTACTATATATTTGCAAGGATGTTTATCAAATCAATTATCCTCAGCCTTCAATACACTAGTATTCTTATTATTGCAGTCTTTTAATCTCTTATGATTTCTTTACTTGCTTAAAAACGATCACCCCAGAAGCAACCTGGACACCTATGTTGCTGTGCTCCGACTCATAATCAAAGATGGTGAGAAATGTGATGAACAATATTGTATTCTAGCTTATTTGGTATTGCTGTTGTATGGTGGAGGTTGGTTTTACAAGAATTATTCATGTAATTGTATGGGTCTATGATTACAACGTTATACATCTATGCTTTGGTCCATTTACACTTCAGCTTTTGAGGCTCACAATTTGACATTAATTATGGCATTATTATTATTTTCAGTTCATATTTGCCAGTGACTCAAGATTACTGAAAGGCAAATGCAATGAAGAAAGAGGAAACAAAAGAAAAGAAAATTAATGATAGAATTGATAATCCAAAGTGAATTCCTGCTTTGATTATGATTGCTACTGAGAGTTTCAGGATATTTTTGTGTTGCATCTATGCTTTGGTTCATTTACACTTCAGCTTTTGAGGCTCACAATTTGACTTTAATTATGGCATTATTATTATTTTCAGTTTATATTTGCCAGTGACTCAAGATTACTGAAAGGCAAATGCAATGAAGAAAGAGGAAACAAAAGAAAAGAAAATTAATGATAGAATTGATAATCCAAAGTGAATTCCTGCTTTGATTATGATTGCTACTGAGAGTTTCAGGATATTTTTGTGTTGCAAATGTCCTTTTCCATTGACGGAGGCAAGGACTTCAAATTGATTTGGGAGGCACGTCATTACACTTGAAACTTCATGGTCAAGGTCAAGGCCAATCCTGGCTTCTGCTTTATTACCACAGCACTGTGAACCACATTCCCACTGGGCCATGACAAGCAAGATTGGTCTTATATTTGGGAAAAGCTGGAACGAACCAGACAGAGACATGTTTCTTCTAATAAACAAAATGCGAATGCCATAGGTGCCGTTGTCGGAACAATCATCGGATGTGTTCTAGGGATTATTGCTTTAACATTAAAGGAAAGCTGGGTGACCATCCAAAGGGCCTGCCTACGCATGTTAACAAATGACAGGCTAATGGAAACGTTGGAGGAGGCTAATATCAAGCTACATACAATCTTTTTGGATATGGCTGAGGCAGAAATAATTTACTTGGTCAAGAAAGAGAAGGCCAAGAAAGAAAAAGGAAGAATCTGAGCACCTAGCTTAACATGTTCATAAGTCCTACTCCTACCTTACATAGAGATCCTTGAGCTCCACGTGAACGCTTTGAAGTGCAAATGCATGGGCAAAAATTGAAGGCAAAGTTTCTTGTGTAAATAAAGACCATCATCTATCGCTAGTGGCTTCGGGTAGCACCAACATGATTTCTCTGTATATAATTCAAGCTTTTTCAGAAGAGAGTTTTGCGAGTAGAGTTCCGAAAGACATTTTTAGTTGAATATTTGGTCATAGCAAAGGCTGCACCTTTGGGCTAAGGGATAACTAGAGAAGCCACCATTTAAAGCCTGCTGCTTCAGTTTCTGAAAGACCTTCACCTACGTTTCTTCATCCAGTAAAATAGGAGTGTTGTTTTGTCACAATTCCCGGCTTTTTTTAGGAGTGGAAGTACCTTGTAATCTTATGAGCACGTTCCAGGATGGTGAGGAGGTGCTCAAGCCACTACGTTACTTGGGTTAAAAAAGTATCTAGCTTACAAACCTAACCATCCCCATAGAATCCGGGATGCCCATAGTCGAAGGTTAGCGATAAAAATACTTCTATTGAAGAAATGCTGATTTATGTTAGAAACCTAGTGCAGTCTGTATCAACAGATTGGCTTCCTAGATCCATTTTACCATTCTTTTTCCAGAAGAAGTTTTGATGCATTCTTTAGTTAAAACTCCACAATTTAAATCTGCTGGTTGAATATCTCTGCATCCATCTCTTTTACAAGTAACTAAGAGATTCCTCTCACCTCATACCCATG